AAATTTTAGTCGAAACAAAAAGTTGAATTGAGAAAAGAAACAATCTAAAAAAAGTTTACATTTCAAAATTAAAACTTTTTTAGTGAAAAACAAGCACACACACACACATACATAACCCTTTTTGACTATTGTTAAAATTTGCATCAATACAAAAACATGAATTGAAACGAAAAATAATCCAAAAAAAAAACCTATATTTTGCAATTGAAATTTTCTTTGATGAGAAAACAAAGCAGTCTTTTTTTGATTATTGCTAAAATTTAAATGAATACAAAAGGATGAATTGAACAAACAAACAAAAAATCTAAAAAAAATTTATATTTCAAAGTTGAAACTTTCTTTGATGGAAAAAAAGTAATGACAAGATCCCTTTTGATTGATGTTAAAATTTCAAAAATTTCAACTCAATATAAAAAAGATAAATTGAGCAATATTATCATATATTGTTAAGGAAATTTAAGGGTAGCATCATGTGAACTTCGTAATCGTGTCAAAGCAGCGACAAGATCACTGATAATGGTTGTCACCTGTTATCTATTCTCAAATATCATCGATGTTTTTATTGCTGCATGGGAATATTTGGATGGTGCATCATTGTTACAATTGGAAGAATTTTATTCAATTGCAACCGATGTTTCATCATTACTCACCATATTAGCTGCTAGTTTACGATTTCCTATTTATTTAATCAATGATAAAATTATTCTAAGAGAGGTTAATTAATTTGCTCCCTGCTATATTAATTACATTCATACAAAAATTAAGTTAATACTTTTTCCTCTTTTTTTCTTCCTCCTTTGCTTATAATTTGAATTAAATTAATTTTAAATAAATTAATTATGAAACAGCTAAGTAAAAAAAAAAATTTGCTATACGCTTTATTTTCTAAAATAACTTAAAAAATTTCAATGAAATATACTATAGGTTCGTTTTACTGTATGCTTCTTTTATTATCACTTGGCAGTCTGCTTCTCAATACTATCAAAACGATCCAGACGGAAGCATCACTTAAAGGATGAATTGAAATTAAATAATCAAAATAAAATTAACACGCATAATTCTACAGATGATATTGTGTTACGTAAAACACGAAATAGTTTGGGTTCGGTTATAATTAAATTTTTAAACAAATATTAATGCTATTAATTGAAGGAAAAGCAAAATGATAGGAAATTTAATTTATTACATTTTAGATCCAAAAATTAATGTATTTTAATTAATTAAAAAATTTTTTTTCAGTATTTTACATCTAAAATGAAGCATAAAAAAATTTCGCATTTGATATTTTATACCTGAAATGAAGCATTTCAGGAGCAGTATGCATATCAGTAACAGATATTGGTATAAATAAACAAAGATCACAACATTCAATTGTTGCACTGCAAATGAGCCCATCACAAATTGCAGTTCGAATTCCACTAGTTCTCGAAGAACATTCATCCTCTGAGGTAAACGACAATCAGGAAACAATTCTATTACTCTGAAAAAATTCCTCTTCCATATCAGAATGATATTATCATTATCATTATCAGAAAAAAGAATGGTATCATTTTATTACTGCTCACTTCAATCTATCCATACCATCACTTCTATTTATCTGTATAAAGATTAATTAGAGAAGTTTAAAAAATGGAATCATTTACAAAATATGCTTGAAATTTACACATATGAAATTTCAATATTTTCATGCTAATCCAAAGAGATAACGATGCAAAAGTGATTAAAACATAGGCTCTAAGACTTTCATTTCATCAAATTTATCATATTTTGAAAGTAATTTTAGCTATTTCCGTTTCATCTATAATTCATATTTTAATCAACCATTTAATAAACCTAAAAGCTTCGAGAAAGCAAAAATATATTCTCACTCTATCAGTAACATTTATACCACTGAAATAAATAACAAACAGGAAACGATTTTACTGTTGATGTTATCAGCTTGGATCACTTCGATATAATGAACTTGAGAATGAATGGCAAATAAATGTCGTAATGATAAGATACGATTGGATATATTTCCGGAAACTTTGATTCGTATTAGCGATAATAATTATCTTTTTGCTGTGATCAACTGATCCAAATCAGTTGCAATAAAAGTATCGGATAGATCAATACACTTATAGTCATTTTTTGTAAAATTCAAATATAGCAAAATTTGAGTTTGTTATTGTAATTATTAGCATTTCAAATAATTTACACTTGAATAACTGAACAATTTTCAGTGATAATCCCATAACAGTACTGTATTATTAGACTTAAGCTGAAATTTTTGCAATGAATGTTTTATAATTCAATTTTAATGGTTGCATGTCTATTTTTTTATTTTTTTTACCAATAACAGATGATAATATATAAGTTTATTTCAATATTTCACGTAAATCAAAATTTTAACATTAAATATATATATATATGAATGAGAAATAAAAAAAAATAATAATTTATTCTCACAATACATATACAGTAACAATAAATGATAATGATGGAATGTATGTGTACGGAAGGATGCCGTATATTAAGATGGAAATACATGAAAAATGAAAGCAAATAATTTATTTAAAAAAGGTCAGGACCTCGCCTTATTGATTGCTTATGACGTGCTAAAATATCCGGACTTTGAGCGTGCATCAATAGTGATCGCTTATGTTGTAGGCCAATATCTACCTGAAATTTCATTTTCTTTTTTGTTTTTATTTTTCTTTATTAATTTAAATTGCTTTTTCATTTGTATAAAAAGACGAAAATTGGATGAAAAAATCAATATCATTTTGATACATATTTATTTATTATCAAAGTATGTTTACAATTTTCGAAGTAATAAGTTGAGTATGTGTAAATGAAAAAACAATTAAATTAACAAAGATGAAGAATTCATGTAAGGTAATATGATAAAATTTGTTGCTAGAAGTAAAGTGAAAATTTGAAAACAATAATGAAATATAATTATTTTAAAAAATTAAGAATATTTTTTTGAAAAGAAAATTGCGCCAAACTCACATGAATTGTTTGGTCATTATCTTCATCATCCGTTTCAACTTTATCAGGATGACGTAAAGTACCATTATCACCTTCACTCAATAAAACTGATAATCGTGGACTGGAACCTTTCGGATGGATTGCAATGATAGGTGAACATCCAGCCGAATTGTCAGTTAAATCAGGTGCTATTTGATAAGCATTTTCTGGTTTTAAACCAAGATCCTGAATTATTCCGATGAAAATACATTTTCAAGTTAAAAATTTAAAAAACTTCATTACAAAATTATTTCTTACAATAATTAAGGCTATTTCCGACTACAGTATTATCATCTGCTATTATCATCCGGTTCTATTGAACAAGCAGTCATCCTTGAAAACTGCTTGTCTGCTCCATTTATTTATTTTAAACTAAATTATCAAAATATTACTCGCATTTTATCAAGTTCTTTCGCCGAACACGGTGGAGTATCAACATCGTAAACATTATGAAATTTTTCAAAATCAATCCTGTATTCGCCATTATCACGTTGATATGTTACAAGCTTCTCAAAGCTGTAAAGTTGAAAATTTCTAAAAAAACTAATTTAAAATTTAAATCTTTAACACTTTTAAAGCTTAAAAAAAATTTAAATCTTTAACACTTTTAAAGCTTATAATTTTTCATGTTGTAATTTGAATAGTGAAATCCAAATATCTGCAAAAAGGTAGAATAGTGATGATGAGGAACAGTAAAAAGTATATTATACTTTTTTTGAGAAAAAATGAAAATTTTCAATTCATTTATATTAATGAAATTTTAAGCAAT